GCAGTGATTTAGACGTAATGTACCGGGGCTTGCCGTGTGCAACTTAACGCGTGAAGAACGAATTCAGCCGCGACCTCGGGCGGACGGATAAGGGGGGACTCAAGCAAGGGGGCCGCCATCCCTCCAGTTCTTCGTCAACTACCTAACCACAGCTTCGAACGCGAAGCGGCAAGCGGGTCAATGTAAAGCCTGGACTGGAAATAACTGGAAATTACCGGAACTTTGCATTGGTCCACATGATGAAATACTAAAAATTTACAGAGAAACTCGGCTTTTTCAACAAAAGTGGTAAAGCGACACGCCCTCCCGCCGCACGTTCACACACCCACGGCATTGAAGTGGTGGGCCAGCGGGTGGGCTTGAATAAATATTCAGATAAAATTATTTACCGACCGGTTCTTGACAAAAAGGCAAAAGATTTTGTCTCCAGCGAAGCTCCAGCAGGTCTTTCGAAAATCGGAAGACTACGACTCACAGTTCCCAGAAACTGTTAACCCAGATGCTCAAGTAGCCAGAGGTAGTCCACTATGGCAATCCAATATAAAGGTCTCGAAGACTTTTCGGAGTTCTTAAGCCCCATTTCTGGAATGCTCCCGCACATTCGACTTGCATTCAAAGTTGTAGGATTGAAGGCATATGCAATGAACTGCTGTGTTGAAGTTAATGATTTTATCCTCCCAGACATGCCAGGCACCAATTTGGCGATTTCTTCTTACGCCTCTTCTTACTCAAACGTTTTGTTACTTGAGCGGATATTCGGGATCGACACTGTTAAGGTGCGTGTAATAGTATAGTAAGCACTATTTGCCTCTACACTAATTCCGCTTACACTTTTCTTCCACTCCCTGAATACTCACGTATTTGAGGCATTGAAAAATGTTCATGGGCATTTGGAGGGTTGGTGTATGGAATGACCGCCCATAGTGGGCTTTCGGTTCGTCCAATATTCACAATGCGATAAGAGCTAAGCCAGTGATGCTCATGTTCGATAAAAGTTTATGAAGTATGTAAAAGTATACACAATTCCAAATATACAGTCTTCTACTTTTGAAGTGAAGGGGCAAATCCCATTCGCTTCTGTCCAATGTCGTAAATGTTGCAGAACTGACGGATGAAGGGATCGCCAAGGATCCATGCAGGTCCGAAACCTCCGAATTCGAATGGGAACATTGCGAAGAGACATTTTTTGTTTCCAGCCTGAAGTAAAGATCTCTTAAGTCTGGTACGGTATCTTCCAGTCATAGAGGAGACTCCACTCGTGGTTAATAAAGCACACGTCAAGTTAGTCTGAACTCACGCTAACGATGTAGTTGACGGGGTTAATGGAGTAGACGTTGCTGCCGATGGTGATGTCAAGTGTGGCTGGCTTCGCGTTGCAGTCAATAGTGTAAGATTCCTCCACAGCGCTGTACTGAAACAATAGTGCTGTTTTGATTACATGATCAATAGCCACTTGGAAAGGTCTTGACACGAACTTTGGCTCCAGCAGCGTTGGCCAGGGCATCAGTGACAGTCTTAGGTCCACCGATGAAGGATGTGCCGGTGTCGGAGATCACTTCGTAAGCCTTTGTGTTCTTGTACGATCCCAAGCCAATGGCGGCCATCTGAAAGTTTTGTGTTCGATAGAAATTACGAATCTGACAACTATACAAGTGCCGTCACTACCTTGAACTGGTAGTAGGTAGCAGAGGAAAGGGGCTGGTAGGCGGTGACTGGTCCGCAATTCTTTGTGTCGATGGCTCCGTAAGTGAAAATACCTCCTGGGGCTCCCTCGAGTTTACCACGGTGCTCCATCCACACCGTGAACAAAGGCTGGTCAAGCAGTTCTGAATTGTTGCATAGTTTTCTAAGGTTCCATTTTAGCAATATGACTTCCCAATTCGGTTGAGAACATCACACCAATGTTGGCTCCCGCCAGTTTCCCCTTGACTCTGACGCCCCAAAAAGTCATCCTTTGTCACTATCACTTTTCGTTTCAATTTGTGGGTAGACTCACTCTGGTCGATGGCATTGATTAGAGGAGGGACGACCTTATCGACAGCTAGAGATGTGAAGGCGAGTCCAAGGATACCATCAGTTGGGTCCTACAATTGAAAACGTGAGTCATCGGTACGCAAAAAGCTGATCCTCAGCCGATCTAACTACTCACGTTCTTGAAGTCAGCCGAGATGTGTGTAGCCAAACCGAAGGTCGTCTTTGGTACAGCCAATTGCTGTTCTTTAGATCCGCCAAACTGTAAGAATGTTCAAAAATTACAAAAACATCGCAACGTTTAGAAGAATGATACCTTGACAGTGTCAGTTCCCAGCACACCCTTAGCATCTCCAGAACCATATTGGATCGTCCAGGTCTTGGTGCTTTTCACGAATGTGGACGATGAAGTAGAGACAAACTTGTGCTTCTTGTTGCAAGATGAGCTGAAATTCCACCTCTTTCTTTAGGGCACTTATCGCAGTAGCACAATGGCTGTCACTAGCTTCATCCAGAAAGTTGCATTGTCAAATGATCCAGAAATGGAAATTGTCCATGAAATAATTGAAAGAAGCGAGGTGACACCCAGGTCTTTGAAACCTCATGAGGAAGAAACTAGTCCACTCGCCTAACCCTCCTTGGGGTGCTCCCACCGAGTGTCGAAGTTAACAATGAGGGATGACTTTTTTAAGTGATCACGTGCTGTTAGGCACTTAGACAGGAGATGTGACGTTAAAGATGGCTCACGAATCAGCTACTCCGAAACGTCGCCCACCAACATATTTGGGAATGATCCATGAGAGACATTACTCCTTTCTTTTCACTCCCTTTTTGGGCCAGCGACCACTGGGTCGACAAAGCGTCCTGTGGCGCTATTCCCGTTCCTGTTTGTGAGAACAGGAAGTCAGTCAGTGGCAAGGCAGCTAAGAGAGAGTAAGGTCTCCCACACCCAAGTAACTTCTATTTTCACACTGCAAAAAACTCAAAACTTCGGGCGACTCACTCGCAGGCAGTCTCTGGTACCCAGAGGTTAGCTGATCCAGTGTCGAGCACCACGACAAACTGCTGGTCAGGTGTTCCGATTGTAATGTTACCGACGTACTCGTAGTCTCCATAGTCCGACACCTGAATTGTGATTTCTCCGAAAGGTGATCAGTTTTCACGTTTCCGAGTATGTCCTCTATTATGGCGCCTTGAGCTGTGAAAGCTTTCAACGTCTACTGGGATCGATCCATTTCTCGCGAGCGATAATTTGTTTTTCAATAGCTTACAAATTGATCTTACCGACTGCCCAAGACTAGCGAGATTCGCTGCCCGTAAAGAGTAGAGGTGCTCGAGGTAGGCGGCATATTCTCCTCGCTCGATCATTTCGATCTAAACGCTCAAGAAACACTTTTCCAACTCATTTGATCAAATGCTACATGAAAAAGGTAGCGTTGGAATCAAAACCGCCTTCAGAAAGCCTACCTTCCTCGATTTCCGCCACATAAGTGGGTGTTCGATTACTGCAGCAGCAGCGAGCCCTACGAGGGCAAGGAGAACAGCGAATCGCATTCTGAAATTTGATGGATTTTCTATTTGATTCTTCTAATATTCGAGTTACAGCATACACAGAGGACATATGAAAGTTCAGATTACTTTCTGCAGGGAAATTTGGATTTCTAGTCAAATTTTTCTGTAAAAAAGGGAACTTTGCCCAGAATGAGGTAAAAGAGTCTTATCATCATGGATGGCCTAAATGAAGACGGCTGATGGAAATGGAGCATTTCATTTCGAGCTCGAATGTTGTCATATGCTCGCGAGAAGGCCTCCTTCCTCAGGAAAAAGCCAGCCTACAAAAAATGGCCAAGACAAAGAGTGCGCAATCTTTGAGGCGAAACAAAATGAAAAACGATGACTTGCTTTAGAGGCTATCACCGTCGTAGCCACAATGATCTGCTGCTTATCGTACCTCAGCCTTATATTCACTGTGCTGACGCAAATTCCGCTCGGCACGATAAGGATTTTACGACTTCTGGTGCTCCGAAACCATTGTTAGGCCAAATTACAAAGGTGATTATAAGAAGATCCGGAGACGCCCTCTTCTTGCTGCTGCTTCGTGACAACTTCGCAAAAGAACAAAAGTTTCCTAGAGTAAATGAGCTTCCAGAATTGTGGCACAAGGAGTATCTTCCTTTGTGTTCCATCCACATGATTTTTGTTCACTTCATCTCAAGAGGAATTGTTCAAACTGAGCAGTGAGAGTTTGACGGTGTAGAGCTTCGTAAGACCTAGAGATCTCATCAGCTGCATTCGCATCTGCAATGCACGGTCTTCGAAAAGAAACTATTCAGTGTGGTATAGTTTTGATCTGAAATCTACTTCTGAACGGTCCACTATTCGCGGAACAACTGAACTTTTCAATTAGGATTGCCAATCATGTCTGACTTAAACTCAAGTAAACAGATTCAGTTAAACATAATTCAAGGATTTTACGCCTTCAGACGAAAGTCATTCAAGTAATACGCATCTTCAGTACTCCAAGAGCGGAGGCGGTATAGGGGCATGCGGCGGTTCCGGAATCGAATATCGGTATGCGTCCAGTACAATTTGGGCGCATACCGAAATTCTATTCCTCTGTGAATCCTCTATGATTAAAGTCTTCGGGGCCTTGTGGTTGGATAAGGCAGGTACCAATCTCCTCTTAGAGAGTAAAAGCCCTGATTCGTGCGTAGTGCAAATTCTTGTATAAGCTACATTCGCATTCACAACGTCACTACGATTCTGAATTGAGGGCAAATGCGGGGAGCATTCTAGAAAGGGAAAACTTGGTCCACATAAGAGCTCATTTTTTGGCATATTCCAAAGGGTTCTCTCAATGAGTCAAAACGGTGTAAATAGAACTGGTAAAAAACTTTATTTTTTATGAAAAATGAGTAATCACACAAAAGAACAACAAGATCCAAAGTGAAAAACTGGATATTATAGTGCCACTTTTATGAGGAGTTGGTTCGGGTTGCGGCGGTTGAGTGGAGGTTTCGGGAGATCTGAAACAATTATACTGTGCAAAAATGTTTTTTTCTTTGAAAAAGCTAGATCTCTCAGAAAGCCTTGCCATTCCGTAGGAGAAATAGTTTCTGGGATATTTACAATACTGGTGCGCAATCTTTGCAAAAGAGCACGCATAGTAGAGAAGGGAAGCAAGCAACACAACAAGGAGATCTTTGAATGGATGAACTAGATATACCCAACTGATAAATTTTCATTTTGACTTTGTGGAGGCACTGAATGCGAAACTAGTCTTGGTGGAAATGGGTTAGTACCCCTAGAAGCAGTTCTGGGTGTGTTGCCCAGAGATGAAGCCCGATTTGGAATCCATTGTACAAGAGCTAAGTTCACTCTTCCCTGAAGCCAATTCAGTGGAACGTCTGCATATCAAGTTTTCCCTATTGCCACTGGAAGTATAAGGAAACTGGGTGTTGCTGCTCAAAATTATAGCAAAGAAAGGATGGAACACTTGTCAGATAGACCAAGTGCACTATATTAGGCATACATAGATCTCATTAGGTAATAAGTTACCAGTTGCAGTACAGGAATGCCCTCCACTTTGAACATAAATCCCAGGCACTTGTTGGAGTGTGACGCGTCTAAAACTATGGAATGCAAAATTCTTACTTGGTCGAGGGTTCAGGTGAAGAGCGTGGTCTAGCAAATCCGATCCGCTTTCCGCCGATGTCATAGATGTGACAGTATTGTCGAATGAACGGCAATCCAATAGTCCAAAACGGATTTTTGTCTGGCATCATTGCAAACATACATCTGTCTTGTTCGATCTTAAAAACCTTCGAGTACAATACGACATCGAATTATGTGAAAACAAAATTTTGAATTCAATACGTAACTCCGTTGGTACGACTTACATAATGTAGAAATAAAAGTTACTCAAGAAACAATTTTTTCCGGGCGAAAATAGTTAAGAATAGTTTTGTGCTTCCTTTCCTTTTGCAGTGGTGAGCTCGTTTCTGTTCAAATAAATAGTTCTCTTTTATTGAATATTGTAATACACAACAATCACATGCAGGAAAATAAAAAGTTCATCGAAGGTGAATCTCTGAGTAGCCAGATTGCTAATACGAGGGTTGCCTTTTATATTTCGGGATTGAGCAACCCTAGTGTTGCAATCTGGCAACTGACAACTCTATCGTAAAGTTTGACTCTTTTGAGGTTATACTTACTCAGAAAGTTTTGACAAATGAGCGCTCTTTGTGTTGTTTACACTAACTTAAAAAACTTACTTAGGCCCTTGTCCCCCCCATCCCCAACTTAGGATAAACCTCTTTCC